TTGGTGATAGTCACACAGATAAAACCTTATTATTTACCTCATTCTTTCCACCCCCCACACAAGAATATACTAAAATTTTCTTTTTTTTTTTTTTTTTTTTTAAATGAGGGCAAGCAGGCCGGCGGGAGGAGCAGCTGGGGGCGAGCAGGCTGGCAGACAGAGTGGTTAGGGGCAATCAGACAGGCAGGCAGGTGAGCGGTTAGGAGACAGCAGTCCCAGATTGCGAGAGGGATGTCTGACTGCCAGTTTAGGCCCGATGGGATCGGTCCTAAACCGTCAGTGGGACATCCCCTGAGGGGTCCCAGATTGGAGAGGGTGCAGGCCGGGCTGAGGGACACCACCACCCCCACCCCCCCACCCCACCCCCACCCCCGTGCACAAATTTCGTGCACCGGACCACTAATATATATATTTGTTTAAACTATCAGTGATGATTATTCTTCAACAGTTGGGAAGGGAAGTCTGTGTCCCGGGGCCAGAAATGAAGAAGGGTAGGAGGACATACAGAAAGTCCATTAGGCAATGACAACTTGAAAGAGGTGGCACCTGCCTGGAGTCTGGTGACTTAAGAACAGGACAAGTAATACTTGTCTGCAGAAGGGCGTGTGGTGTTTCTTCACGCTAGATACCAAAGCTGTGTAGACCAGGGTAGTAGTGATAAGAAATGGGGGGATTCTGGGCATATTGGAAGGGAGAGCCAGCAAGATTTGCTGAAGGAATAAGCATGAGATAAAGGAGAAAGCAAGGATGATGGCAAGGTTTCTGGCCTGAGCATCTGGAAGGATAAAGCTGCCATTTGCTGAGATGGGAAAAGCAGCATGCAGGTGGAGCAGATTTGGGGTGGAAATTAGGAGTTTGGTTTTGAACTTGTTGAGTATGAGATGACATGAGCAAACAGTAGGCCATTGGACATATGAGTCTAAAGTTCCCAGGTGAGGTCCAAACAAGATTTAGACTTGGTTGGTTGTCAGACTGGGGAAGAGGGGAAGATTGGATTGTCTGCCCCATTCGGCTCAGCCCCAGCTACCAGTCTATACCTATCTCTTGCTTCCTGTCCTATGGTCTGTTTGAATTGCAGCTGTGCAGAAGGTAAGTGGGTGCACAATTTAAATGTAAAAGTGGTGTGGAGCTGAAGAGATTGATGTCTACAAACAGCCTAGCCTGTGAGAATTATATATAAAATGTGAAAGGTAATTTCCCATAAAAAAAATGTGACTTTCTACCAATTGAATACTGCTAAAACTAATTTCAGCTCAAGCAGCCATTCTTCGGACTCAACTAATTTCATGCAGAGTGCCTCCACTCCCAAAAATGACTGGATAATGAGAAGGTGTTTTACACCTGGAAGACCTCAACCACATTAAGTGTTAAGGGAGTGAGTAAAACCACAGAAATGAGTCTGAATTAAGTTCCATTTCCCTCTCCATGGCACAAGATTCTTCATACATAAAATTTCATACCTGAAACACATGCCACTCTAGAACAGGGGAAAAGGACCACACAAACTTCATTGGGTATCCCCTCTGTGCATCCTCTACCACTCTGTACTCATCTACCTGACACTGGAAACATACTTTTTATATCCTTGACTCCCATATAGACTGTAGGCGGTGGCAACCTCATCTCCTCCTCCTCCTGCTCCTCCTCCCCCTTCTCCTCCTCCTCCTCCTCCTTTTACTCCTCCTCCTCCTTCCCCCCCTCCTCCTTCTTCTCCTCTCATCCTCATCCTTTTTCTTCTTCTATTTGTAATAAGAGAACGTTTATTTTGAAAGTCACAGAGGTAGAAGTGAGCTGTGGAAGGAATGGGCTCAAGAAACAAGTTATGTTGGGGTCCAACCCCAGCAGGTCCAGGGGTCCCCAAAGGTGTGGACGGAGTTGGCGAAGAAGGAATGACACAGAGGCAGCGTTCAGTTGATCAGCATGGTTGGGTTCTCTTGCCTGGTTCTCCAGCCAGGTTTTGTCCAGGTTCTCTTCAGGTTCTCCAGCCAGGTTCTATCCAGGTTCTCCAGCCAGGTTCTGTATTTTATTGTCTTGTTACATCTGTATTTATACCAGTTGATTTTAATCCTATCAATTTCTATTCCAAAGGTTAGGGTGTTTCTTATCTTCATTCCAGGGAGTAAAGATTATGTAGCTTAAGGGTGATTGTTTGTAGTTAAAGTGATTAACTACCCGCCTGGCATTTAGTTAAGGGGTTTTATTCCCTCCCTAACTTCAGGGAAAAATCCCTACCTGGGGAAACAACCTTTCTCAGAGAGGTGACCTTGGTTAAAACACATAGCACCAAGAAGGTGAGCAAACATATTAAGAACAGTATGCCATATACGCCCGGTCCCTTGAAACATATGCTGTGCAGATGTTTCTTCCCTGCAGCGACTGTGTCAAGCAGCAAGGATGGACTGGCTTCCGGCAAAGTTACACAGGCCAAAGAAAGGCCCTTGGAGCTTAGGAGAGAGTAAGGCCTGGCACCTTGGGTGGTGGGGAAGGGGAAGTAGAGGGGAAGGAAAAAGGTGCTGCTGAGCTCTGGGGAGGGAGAGCTGCTAGACCAGTGGTTCTCAACCTTGGCTGCACATTAGAATCATCTGGGAATCTTCTTAAAATCCTGATTTCTGGGCCTCATGTGCAGCCAAGGTTGAGAACCACTGCGCTAGACTGTAGGCTTCTTGACAGAGCTAGGAAAGTTTCCCCCCTATTGTATCCCCAGCACCCAGCACACAGTAGCCACTGAAATATCTGTTAAATAAATGAAGGACAAAGCATTTCAGGATTTTTTCTAATATGATCTTGGGCTGTTTTAGGGGGTTCTGATTTGTTTGAGATTTCCCAATGCTCCTCTGGGTGTTTGGAGTGTTGCCCTAAGCCTAAAGCAGTTCCTCAAAGAAAATTCGTCTCAGTCCCCTCCACTGGAAGTGCTGATGGCCCTGGACCGCTGGGGTTTTCCTTTGTGGGCAAATGCCTCAGCACTGCAGTTCCTTTCCCCTGAGGTTTCAGGCATTTCTAGGTATTGGCACAGGAAAGCCAGGAATCGGTGAGCCATCTGTTAGCCAAGCAAGGTGCCTTGCCAGATTTGCTTCAGGGGTTTTCAAACGCAACTCACTGGAGAAAGAAAGCAAAGGAGCAGGCTCTGGGTGGGCCCTGGCTCCCTCTCAGCTTCAACCAGAATTGCCCAAATTATTTTTTATCATTATTGAAAATCGTAAATATTTATTTAAATGTTGTTTTCTTTGGCAACTTTATTCAAAATACTAAATTTTCATTTTAAAATTTGGTTTATATAACAGAGTGCCTAAATTGATGACCGTTCACCATTTTAAAAATGGTGAATTTTATGTTATACTAGAGGCCCAATGCATGAAATTCATGCAAGGGGCTCGGCCCTCGCAGCTGTGGCAGCTTGCCTCGGCGGCTTGCCTCAGCCCTCGCAGCCCTGGCTTGTCCGGAAGGTTGTTCAGCTGTCCAGTCTAATTAGCATATTACACTTTTATTATTATAGATGGATTTTATCTCATTCAATAAAAACACAAAAAAGTAAAACAAACAAATGATGCAGAGATGAAAGAGGAGGGTGAAGGGAAAGGTGAGGAATCCAGAACACTTCTCTGAGCTTAGTTTCCTCATCTATATGGTGATAATAATGTCGCCAGCCCCCAACTGGCATGAGTAATACATGACTTCGTTACATAAAACGCTTATTAGCACAGTAGGCACTCAAAATAAATGTTAATTGTCTTTTCTATATAAGTGTCCAAACACATCTGTCCCCTTTATTACCTTTATTTCTTATGACTGTATGGTTTGTGGCTCCAGCCAGACAACCTGTTCGTACAAGGGCTTCTCCCACTCCACTGCGTTCGGCAGGCTGCGCTGCCGTCTGGGATGCTGTCCTGCCTCCAGTGGGAAAGCCCAGTCCTTGGGCCACAGCCACAAGATCACCTGAGAGCTGATTCCGTGGGTCCCACCTGCTGGGTCAGGCTCTCTGGGATGTTTATTCTGGGTGAATCCAGGCCTGTGTTTTTGTAATAAGTGCTCCAGTGCTGATCGTGCACATTGAAGTTTGAGATTAATGTTTTTGTTTGTTTTGTTTTAAACATGTTTTTATTGATTTTTTAGAGAGGAAGAGAGAGGGGGAGAGAGAGAGAGAGAGAGAGAGAGAGAGAGAGATCGATTGGCTGCCTCCTGCATGCCCCCTACTGGAGATTATTGAGCCTGCAACCCTGGAATGTGCCCTGAGCAGGATTCGAACCAGTGACCTCTTGATGCATGGGACAATGCTCAATCCACTGAGCCACACTGGCCAGGCGAGACTAATGTTTTAATGTATTCCTGTCTTGACCCTCTCTTCCAGGAGGTCTGCTCAGACTCCTCCCCTGAGAAGCACTCCGACACCCAGAGTGCTCCTTATCCAGGTCTGAGGTTCTGAGTGTCTGGGTCAGAGTTACTTTAGGTTCCACTGAGTCTTCTCTCTCCCAATGGATGGGGGAACACCCAGGGACAATATCTGGCCCTTCTCTCGTCACCCTGGTTCTTCTTCCTTCCCACCTCCCTGAGTGTAGGTTCTCCTGGGAAGCTGTAGGAAGCAAGACACTTTATTTGTAAAGTCCTTAGAATACTTTCCGTCTACAAATACTTGAGAGAACTTAGCTTCTTCTTTTCCTACCATTCTACTTAGGACTTTTTGCAATGGTGTGGAATTTGTACGACTGTGTCATATCAGCCTTTGCTTTTCCCATACCATTTCACCCCACAGGGCGTGCTAGGTGTTGGCTGGTCCCCACCCCACCCTGACAAGTGACCATGGACCCAGGAGTTGGCCCAGAGTCATCTCTCACCGTCAATGAGCAGGTATCTTCTGGGGCAGGAAGAGGTGGGGGAGTGAGGTTGATGGACCAAGGGGTGTGGGGAAGTAGGAAGACCCCATAAAGCCCCTCATTATCTGTTTCTTTCTTTTTTTAAAAAAAATTTTTTTAAAATATATTTTATTGGTTTTTTACAGAGAGGAAGGGAGAGGGATAGAGAGTTAGAAACATCGATCAGCTGCCTCCTGCACACTCCCTACTGGGGATGTGCCCGCAACCAAGTTACATGCCCTTGACCGGAATCGAACCTGGGACCCTTGAGTCCGCAGGCTGACACTCTATCCACTGAGCCAAACCGGTTAGGGCTCATTGTCTGTTTCTTACCAAAGTACATGGTCAGTTCACCTGACCAGGTTTAGTTACCAGTTAGGATTTCTCAGGGGCTTAATTTGGGAATGTAAGCCGTGACTTTATTATTTTTTTAAAATATATTTTTATTGATTTCAGAGAGGAAGGGAGAGGGAGAGAGAGAGATAGAAACATCAATGATAAGAGAGAATCACTGATCGGCTGCCTCTTGCACACCCGCCACTGGGGATTGAGCCCAAAACCCAGGCATGTGCCCTCGACCGGAATTGAACCTGGGACCCTTCAGTCCACAGGCTGATGCACTCTATCCACTGAGCAAAACTGGCTACAGGTTTTTTTTTTATAGATTTTTTTTATTGATTTCAGAGAGAGGAAGGGGGAAGGAGAGAGAGAAACATCAATGATGAGAGAGAATCATTGATCAGCTGCCCCTTGCACATCCCCTACTGGAGATCAAGCCCACAACCCAGGAATTGAACCCCGACCTCCTGCTTCATGATTCGATGCTCAACCACTGAGCCACTCCAGCCAGACTAAGCTGTGATCTTAAAAAGTGAAATTAAAATGTACAAATATGTATAATCTTACATGGAGAAATATTTGGACATTGGGTAATTTGCTCTTATTTCTTTCTTTTCCTGTGTTTTTCTTTTGTTTGCTTTTTTTGGGGGGAGGTAATTTGCTCTTAGTATTTTTTCTTGCTTATATATTTTTTCTAATTTTTCTACAATGACCATTTATTACTTATGTAAACTTAAAATGTTTTTTGTTAATTTTTATCTTTTTTAGAGAGAGAAAGGAAGAGGAAGGAAAGGAGAGAGAGAGAGAGAGAGAGAGAGAGAGAGAGAGAGAGAAACATGGATCAGTCGCCTCCCGCATGCACCCCGACCGGAGATCAAACCCACAACTGGGTATGTGCCCTGACCAGGAACCAAACCGGTGACCTTTCAGTGCACGGGAAAATGCTCAACCAACTGAGCCACACTGGCCAGGGCACTGAAAAGGAGAACAAAGATGAATTTTTAAAAGGAGAAAAAAGATGAACAACTCCTAAAATGTAATTGAAGTCCCTCATAGGTCAAGTTTGAGTCAGAAAGGCAACTGCTTGGGGGTTAATTTCCCTCCAGCTCCCCTGATGGGTCACATTGTCACTTTTTCCGGCAGAGTCTCTGGCTGGATCCAGTTTTCAGGCTTAAGGAATGTGTTGTGTGAGTAGCTTCAGGCGTAGGCCAAATGTAGGGGAGCTGGGCACAGAGCTTTTCAATGTACAGGCTCCCTGATTTTTGAATGGCCCAGTTGGAAGCATTTGAGTGCTGGAGTTAGAGAGCTGAGAGCTGGTTGTTTGAGCAGGGGAGGAAGGTCCTGTCCTGAGGAGGCCCAGGCGCCTCCCGCCTTGCTGGGACATGGAGGCGCCCTTCCAGGTCAGAGCAGGCCCACAGCAGATGGCACAACTGTAGCCACAGGGCACGAGCTCCGGGCCAGGGGGTGGGAGAGGCTCCGCCTTCAGGATGCAGGAAGTTAGCCTGTAGGAAAATCTTGGCCTTTACCCCAGAGTTTTGGAAATAAAGGAATCACGAGCTGAAAAAGTGACTCAACATTGTGGAGCATTTGTTCCACTGCTTTATCTCTGAAGATTTAAAGGGACGTGAAGCGGATTTGCTTCTTGGCGCAGCTTACGCAGTGGATGCTGTGTTAGGGGCCCTCAGAGCCACGCACCAATATCCTAGCAGCCAAGAGAACATCCTTGCAAGGCTGTGGAATAGACTTTTACCACGCCCTGAACTGAGTCCAAGAAAAGGACCAAGTAGAAATATCCTCCGGGGGTTTGGCTCCGTGGGACGTTTCCAGCTGTGTCAGGCCCTGCCCCCTGTCCCGTCCCCAGGGCCTTTCTGCTAGCCCCTCCTTCTCTGGAGCAGGGAGCCGCAGCCTGCCCCAGGCTCTGGAGTTCTCACAGAGCACACAGTGCTGGGCCAGGACGTCTACCCTTTCCTCTCTCCCGAAATCATACCTAGAGCTCTGGGCACCAGGCAGGGGGGTCTCTATGGCCCCTCCCCCACAGTGTTCCCTGTCCTCTGTTTGCAGGTCATCGTGATGTCAGGCCATGAGACCATCCGCGTGCTGGAAGTTGGAGTGGATGCCCAGGTCCCTGCTGAGGAGGAGGGCAAAGGACTGGAGGGTGTGGCCGCCGAGGGCTGCCAGAGTGGAGGTCCTGCTGAAGCCAGTGAACCTGCTGGTGAAGCTGGGCCAGACAACCCAGACTCTTCTGCGGAGGCAACTGGTACGAGGCCATTGCTCCACCCTGGTCCCTGTCTGTAATTCCCGGGGGAGCCAGCACAAGTCCTTGGGGCCTAGGCGGCTTTAGGGTCTTGTCGTCTTCCTGTCCACTGGACAGCCTTGGGCCATGGCCTGTACTCCTTCCTGGTCAGCGCCTAGGGCCATTCTGCACTCCTTGTCCCTGGAGCTTTAGTTCTGGTTCCAGTCACTTCCAGACCTAAACTGGGATGGATTGGGGTGAGGTGGGTGGAGAGTGGCAGGGCTCGGCTGAAGGGGGTGTATAAACCTCAGAGAGGGCTCCTAGTTCTAAACCAGACCCTCAGCCCCAGTGCAGAGAGGCCTAGACCTTCAGTATCCCGCCAGCCCTTCCAACTCAGTACCTGCTGTGGAAAAGGTGGGAGGCCCCAGAAGCTGGGGCTGGGCGGCATCTTACCTACCTTGGACTAAGGATATAGGTCAGGTAGGACCTTGAAGAATGCCAGCTCCTTACTCCCAGCTGGGCTGGTGTGAGTCAGCCTGGTGGACTGATTTCTGCTGTCCTCCAAAGATGACTTGAGGGCATGAGCTTGATTCTTCCCCGTGGAAATGGATGTGGCTGATCCACCCACTCTGTCTCCCTAATGACCCGCAGTAGAGCTGTTCTAGAGGCCGGGTCTGGTACCAGGCACTGCTCTCTGACCACAGGGCACCATTTCATTGGCTTTCCTCATTAACACCTTACAGAACAGACATCTCCTGGTGCAGGAAGCCCGAGGCCTCCCTTGCCAGTTTCCCCAGAACACCAGGACTCATCTCCCCCTGTCTTCTGCGTATCTTCCCTTCCTTAGATTGGAGATCTGGGCTGGTGGGTGTAGGCTAAGAGGGGGAGCCAAGAAGACAGCAAAGGAGGACAGACAGGCTTTGGGGAACAGCAACTCCTTAACAAGGAAACTGCAGGAACTCACGTCCTATGCTCTACCTGCAAAATAGAGCGCAGGTTCACTTGGGACCCTTGTAACTTGGCTTATTTCCCCCACTTTTGAATAAAGAAATGACAAGAGACATGACCCTTTCCCCCTGGCCTGGAAATGCTCTGCTTCCGTGTTGAGCCCAGGATGGGGCATTACCCGTGTTCCCATGGACCCCTGCCCTGGAGAGCAGGCAGGGAAGACAAGGATCCGTTGCCTCAGCCACCCTTCCCATCCCTTTCCATTGTGGGGTTGGAGCCCCTTTCCAGAAAACTTGGGAGGTTTCTCAGGTTTATCCACAGCGCCCTGACTTCCCTTTTTATCCTTTTAATGAAATTCCATATCTCATTTCTTCTGGTGTCTTAATCTGCCCCTTACCCAAACCTGCTCTCGGAAATAGATCCTGAGCCAATTATTTACACCTTAGCATGAGTGTCAGTGGTAGTGTGCATCTTCTTTCAGAGGTTGGTATACTTAAGCCTTTCACAAAATTTTTCTCGATAAAGGAATTTGAATCATTGTCAAGCAGATAAGGGAGGTATTTTGATGTTGCTCCCTAAGAAGCTGCCGGCGTGGACTGTGGTCTTAATGTGACCTTGCTAGATATTAAGCATTTCTTCTTAAAACAAAGTACTGGCCGGCATGGCTCGGCGCTTGGGCGTCGACCTATGAGCCAGGAGTTCACAGTTCCATTCCCCGTCAGAGCATATGCCCAGGTCGCAAGTTCGATCCCCAGTGTGGGTGATAGGGGGCAGCCCATCATTGATTCTCTCTCATCATTGATGTTTCTATCTCTCTCTCCCTCTTCCTTCCTCTCTGAAGTCAATAAAAATATATTAAACAAAAACAAAGTAATAGGAAACTTTTTCAGGGTGGAGAAAAATCTAGTGATTTATGGCAGTCTAAATTACTACCCGGTCCTTGTCACACATACACAGTTTTATATTTGTGACCACCGAGGGTAGACTATGTAGCATAACTCTGACCACTATATTATTTCAGATACCTTTTTCCTTTATTGACGTAGATTCACAAACCTGTTCTGGTTTTGACTATTGCCAAACTATCTGTTTTTCTGTTATCATAACCAGTGCTGTTTTGAATATCTTTCTACTGGTCTTTTGAATTTTCCTTTTCTTTGAGGTATAGTCCACCCAAATTCTTTTGGAAGAGAAATCAATTGTTTATATAGGGAGAAGTCATCACATGAAAAAATACAAACTCTTGCTATCAATGAGAGAAAACGTAACTGGCTATAAGGTACTGCATGCCTGTTAAGCCAGAAAACTCAGCAGTGATAAAAGCTAACCTGGGTGATGCTGTGGAGAAAAGGGACATGGTTGATGTTTCTGTGAACTGGCTTAGTCTTTCTGAAAAACAGTGTAGCAGGAAGTGACAAAAGCCTAAATATGTGTAAACTCTTGGAACTCTTGGTCCTACTTTGGAAATATATTCTAATTAAATGAATATCTCATTTCTTTGGATGGTAAGCTTTATCACTCATGTTTATCATATTCCTATTTTCACTTTCCTTTTTATAATTCATTATATTTGTCAAGCAAAATGTTTTAAAATTTTCTCTTTTCTGATTTTTTTTTTCAGTAGTTGGAAATGCATCTCCCCTCTGCGGTTTTCACTTACCCCCCCCCCCCCCCACTTAGTATTTTATAAGGCTTTTGTTGCTGCTTGCTTGTCTCTTTAATTCCTTAAGCAATCTGAATTTCTTTATTATGCACTTTGAACAGTACAGTCCTGAGTTAGATCGGTGCCTTTCCAGATTAAAACATGGGCTGGGAATGCGGGTATGGAAGGTTATCTAACTGCATGGTTCCCACTCTGGCGTGTGCTGTATCACAAGGGAGCTTAAAGAAAAAAGAGATTAAATAGCGCAAATTGCCAGTTAGGCACATAGTCACGGGATGTAAAGTCCAGCATAGGGAATATAGTCAATAATAATGTCATAACTGAGTATGATGTCAGAGGGGCACTAGACCTCTAGGGGTGATTACTTCATAGGTTATAAAAGTGTCTAATCACTATGATATACACTGGAAACTAATATAATATTGAATGCCAACTATAGTTAAAAAATAAAAAATTAAAAGTAAGAAAAAGAGAAGAGGTTACTGGCCTCCACTCCAGACATTCTGATTCAGTAAATCCATGTCCAGCTAGTATTAAGAGGCCATTGATCTGGTCTAATATCCATCGTCCAATACCTAGACTCCTTTTAATGTCTCGCCATCTATATATATAAAAGCCTAAGCGATCGGTTGACTGAATGACCAAACGACCGGTTGACCAGTTGCTATGATGCGCACTGACCACCAGGGGGCAGATGCTCAACGCAGGAGCTGCCCCCTGGTGGTCAGTGCGCTCCCACAGAGGGAGCGCCGCTCAGGTAAGTGATGGACACCAGATGCTGGGCTCACAGCTGGCGAGTGCCACTGCGGTGGTGCAGCCTCTCCTGATCGGGACTGGGCACGAGCCCGCAGCAGGCGCAGTGGGGCCAGGATGAGCGTGAGCGGTGTGGCACCAGGCCCGGGCTTGGGCTCCTCCCCGGCCGCCTACCGCTTCGAGCACTACTACATCCCTCAGGGGGGGTTAGACTGCCGGTTCCGGCCCCATCCCCACAGGCCGCCTACGGGGATTGGGCCAAAACCGGCAGTCTGACCTCCCCCGAGGGGTCCCAGATTGCAAGAGGGCACAGGCCAGGCTGAGGGACACCACCAGTACACGAATCCGTGCACTGGGCCTCTAGTAATAACCCTTTTCCTCGTTGTGTGAATTCTTGGTGGGGATTCCCAATACCTCACAAATGAGGGTAGCAAGAGGAAGCTGTAACCTGGAAGAAAAGCTTTGGTTCACGGGAAGTTCCCTTAGAAACTCACTGAAGCTGCTCGTCAGACTTCAGACCTCAGGGACTGGCAGAGAAAAGCAACCTGGCCTGGCCCTCGCTGCTTTTGCTCAGTGGATAGAACGTCGGCCCTCGGACTGAAGGGTCCTGGTTTCAATTCTTATCAAGGGCATGTGACTGGGTTGCGGGCTCTATCCCTGGTCCTGGTTGGAGCGAGTGTGGGAGACAACCAATCGATGTGTCTCTCTCACATCGATGTTTCTCTCTCTGTCTCTCCCCCCTTCTTCCCACTCTCTCTAAAATTCAATGGAAAAATATCCTCGGGTGAGGATTAGCAAACAAACAAAAAAAGCTACCTGGCCTGGAGCGCCATTGTGACCCTAAGTGTGGCAAAGACATGTCCAGTTTTCAGGGACTGTCATTTCAAGGACTTCATTCTTCAGAGTCCTTGTTGCTTCTCCAAGCCAGCACCTGCATCCAGAAAGTAGCCTCAGGCGGGTTGAGCGATGGTCCGGTTGCTGGATGAGCCAGGGGGAGCTGCTCCCATTGATGCTATCTAGCTCCTTCCCGCCCAGACACATGTTTCTTCCCTTCAGACCCCTCGACTGGTTAGGTCATAGGTCACAGTGTTCTGTAGAGCCAGGAAATGAGAGATTGACACCTAGCTGTGCATAGGCCTGCATTTTCTTCATCTAAATGCGGGAAGAAGAGGGCCCACATGCTAGGTCTGGCACAGGGCTGTCCAGCCTCCTAGTCTCACTAACGGTAGCATTGGGGAAGCTGCCTTCTGGGCCAGGGAAAGCCAGTGATTGGTCTCGGGTTATGCGGAAATACGATGTGAGGCTGAGAGTTGCCACTTCAAGCTGCAGACAGGACATTCTAGTCCAGTGACCCCTCTGCTCACACCAGGCTCACCCTTTGTCCTTTCTCTCAATGCCACGTGAAGTGAAGTCACTCCCGGGGATCCCTGCGAGTCCTGCCCCGGCTGTCGCCACTTTCAGCCAACCCCCAAGCCAGCCTCAGGCATCGCAGACCCTGACGCCGCTGGCTATACAAGCTGCCCCCCAGGTAAGAGCCACCCCTGGGAGCCGGACACAGAGCAGTGGGCAGAAGCAAGACATGGGACCACCACCATGGAGAGGCTATGGGATCTGGACACTCACGAGGCAGGACAGGGACGGGGCTGTGACTTAAGAGAGGGAGTCCCCTACTAGGCACCCCTGGCCTCTCCCCTGCCCCAGATCAGGCCCACTGGGAAGAGTAGATCTGCCTTTGCCGGGTAGTCTCCTTGGGTCCAGCAAGGATGGTAGAGATTACGTTAACGCGTTCATGCCACAGGCCATTCTGTTCAATGACTAAATGAGTGAACACCCTGTCCGTCCCTCCAGTGGCTGCCTGGAAGAGTTAATGCATTGTTCACAGTCCTCATTTAGAGCCAGGGGGGCAGCCCCAGCACAGCGGGCTGCCTCCAGGATCCTCCAGGCATGCTGAACTCCCTGTGACCTTTCGCTATAGGCACAGATTTTTGAGGCATCCATCAAGGGGAGCCTCCATCAGAGCTTCTCAGAAGCTTCTGTGAGCCCTTGACCACTTGGTTCCATTAGCCCTTGCCCCTTGATTTCTGGCCACAAAGTGTTGGTCCTGTGGGCAAGGGCCCAGGGAAGGCTGGGGGACAGCAGTCCAGTGGAAGAGGCCCGTGCACCCTCTGCTGTCCTGTGAGCAAGGCCAGGTCCTGACCTCGATTTGGGCTGCTTCTCTGAAGACGGGCACCCCACTCGAGGTTGAGCCTCCAGCTAGGGCTTGTCTCCTCCCCGTCCTCACGCGGCCTTTCCCCCACTGCCCTCAGAATGCTTTGTTTGTGCTCAGCTGGGTCAGAGAGACCCAGTGTTTGCGCTGTCGATGTTGATTTTTTTTTTATTTTTTCTTTTCTTTTTGAAATCTTGTTTGCTTTTGCAGGTCTTGACTCAGGAAAACTTAGCCACAGTTCTGACAGGAGTTATGGTTCCAGCAGGGGCAGTTACTCAACCTCTTCTTATCCCCATCAGTATTGCAGGTCAAGTGGCTGGTCAGCAGGGGCTGGCCGTGTGGACAATTCCTACAGCAACCGTGGCCGCCCTCCCAGGACTGACCGCTGCTTCTCCTACGGGGGGAATTTTCAAGCCACCTTTAGCCAGTCTCCAAGGTAACGGCAACTCTCCCCAGGACGGCACCAGGCCCCCCAACACCCACCACTACCATTCCTGCACGAGCGCTTGCCATGTCGGACTCAGAACCCGCAGCCCGCCCAGGGCCACAGCCCTGGAGTCTGGATCCGGTGTCCCAGGCACCCAGCCACAGAGCTGCAGCACCTCGGGACTCTAGGCCAGGACACCATCCGGCCTCTCTTACTTCAGCCAACTGTCTGAGACTGCCCCTCTCCCCCCACGCCAGAAGTCACCCCATGACCAGCCTCCTGAGAAGGACTGCAAGAAGATGCAACTTCTGGTTTTGAACCTGCACTTCTCCAGGCCCAAGGGAGGGGGGATGAGAGATGTGACGTGTGCTGCCCCCAGCAAGGATCAAGGGAATCACCGCTGCCTGCCCCCCTCCCCGCTGCCCCAGCCCCCTCTGTTCTTGTGCCAGATCCCTTGGGATTGGAGCTGCTCTGGGCTACGGCTAGGCATTTGAGCACCTCTGTCTCTGCCTTGCTCCGTAGCAGCGGCCGTGCTGAACACCGCTCTGCCGGCACCCGTACAAGCTGCCCCACCGGTACAGGCCTCCTCGCCCGTCCAGCCCCGGCCACCAGCACAGGCCCAGACGCTGTTCCAGACCCCGCCACCGCCGCTGCTGCAGAACACGCCCGCCATTCTACCGCAGCCCACTGCTGCCACCGCTACCGCCCCCGCCCCCAAGCCAGTGGACACCCCCCCACAGATCACCCTACAGCCTGCCAGCTTCGCATTTAGCCCAGGAATCGTAAGCTGCTGCTGCCCTCACCCAGGGCTGATCAGGGCTGGATCGAATCTTGGGCCCGGGTGGAACTGATGCGGGGAGGAAAGAGGTGGAGGACCAGGCCCCTGAATACAGCTGTCTTCCAACACATCAGCGGAGACGGGCTCCCTCTGAAGCCTTCTCCTTGCAGCTGCCAGCCTGTCCCTCCCAGACAAGAGCAGACAACCTCTGCCAAGAGGGCTGGGCAAATTCTCCAGAACCTGAGCCACTGGACCAGCCTTGGAGGGTGGGATGATGTCTGGGGATTGCAAACTTGTGAGCTGTCACTAAGGTGGAGCTAGAGGCTCACGGCCCCTTGCCAATGTCTGTCCTGGCTTGGCAGTGGAGCTGTTAGATGTGACTAGAATCACATCAGCCACTCCAGTCTGGTGCTTCTATCCTCCCAGGCCTGGCCTGAAAGATTAGCCAGTTACTCTTCCATGGCTTTGACCCCACCCTTCCTGGTTGACCCCCCGGCACCCCTAGTGCTGGATACTATTCAGCTGGTAGACATGGGCCTGTAGCTCACATTCCTATCTGCCCCACATCCCTACCTCCCCACCCCAATGCCTGTGAGCCCTCTTCCCTCTGCCTTGGGCTTTTTCTGTCCCCTTGGTCTCTGAGCAAGCTCTTCCTCCACCCACAGATCAGTGCTGCTTCCCTCGGGGGACAGACCCAGATCCTGGGCTCCCTCACGACAACTCCGGTCATTGCCAACGCCATTCCCAGCATGCCAGGGATCAGCAGTCAGATCCTCACCAATGCTCAGGGACAGGCAAGTGGTCACAGCCAGGGCTGAGGGATGGGGGCTGTGGACAAGCTGGCAGGGGCACTAGGACTTGGGCTGAGGGTCATCGAAACTCAAACAGGGTGTCGGACTGCTGTTCCTATCTCCTGTGTGGCCGCTCCCTGCTGATCCTGAGAGCAGGCAGGGGCATAGCCACTGCCTTGCCCTGGAGGCACCCACTCTAGTGGAGGCGAACACCCACTTCATTTATGGAGGACCTACTTCGTGGCCTGTGCTAGGTGCTTTCTCATACACCAGCTCACTTTGTTTTGAGTACAGATCTATTAGGGAGAGATTTTTATTCCCATTTTACAGGGACGAAAGCTGAGGTTCAGAGAGATTAAGCCACAGCTAAACTGTGGCAGAGCAGGGATTCACATCCAGGTCCATCTGACTCCACATGCAGACCCATTCCTGCTCCATCACAGCTCTGGAGATAAAACAAAGGAAGCAGCCCCCAGTCTGTGAATCCTTCACTTTATTGAGGAAGAAACGGAGGTCCACAGGGGTTAAGTGATTCATCTAAATGCCTCCCCTACCAGTGTGGGGTTTGGGTTGGAGGTGGAGCTGGACACTGGCCTCACACTTAGAGTCCCTGCCTTGTTTCCTCCCAGGTTATTGGAACGCTTCCGTGGGTAGTGAACTCAGCTAGCGTGGCAGCACCAGCACCAGCCCAAAGCCTGCAGGTCCAGGCTGTGACCCCCCAGCTGCTGTTAAACGCCCAGGGCCAGGTGATTGCAACCCTGGCCAGCAACCCCCTGCCTCCACCTGTGGCTGTCCGGAAGCCAAGCACGCCCGAGTCCCCTGCTAAGAGTGAGGTACAAGGGCTGGGGTTGGGAATGGGGGCAGGCGGTGCTATCTGGCATGGGCGGCCTCTCTTCAGACCAGGGGCAGGACATGATTATTTTCTGAAGCCCCTGAGAAAGCAGGGACCTCCCCAAAGTTTGGGGAGGTCCAGGGTAGAAGGCTCACATGAGTCACTATGCTCTGCCCAGGGAACGCCGCCACGCACACGCTGACCCCCTACCCACACACACCAAAAACTTGTCCATGTACCCTCAGGAGCTAGTGCCATTCTGAGAAGGCCTGGGAGGAGTGGTCGAAGTAAACGGCCTTGATTAGCTCCAGGGTGAAAAAACTGCTAGAAGTGCTCTGGGAGGTTAGTTCTGCATCCCCTCCCTCTTCCCCCTTCACCCCTCTCCCCCTCCACTCTGTAACTTTGATTAGTCACTTACTTGTTCCTTCTAGGAGCAGTTTTTGAGTGCCTGCTAGATTCCAGGTGCGGAAGATAGAGAGATGAATAAGATGCTCTTCCTAGCCTTAGGGAGCATGGCACTGGGACAAGCACAGGCAGCCTGACAAAGACTGTGATGGGGCAGGATAAGAGACCCAAAGAAGGGAGCTCGCCACAGACTGGGGAGTTCCACAAGGCTTCGTAGAGAAGGGACATTGAGCTCATCTAAAGGGATGACTTGAATGAGAGAGTATTTTATCTTTAGGAAACTGCAAGAAGTCTAGTGTGCAGGGTTCGCAAACCTGAGTGTCAGAACCGCCTGGGGGGCTTGTTCCCAGGCCGCGCTCCAGACTTTCGTATCAGTAGGTCTGGATGGGGCCCAAGAATTCCTCTTTCTAACAAGTTCCCAGGTGTTGGGGCCCATGATCCTCCAAGGTGGGGTGCTGCTTCTCAGCTTTGTGAATAACCCCTTAGCCTCATCTGTAAAATGGAGATTATAAGAGGATCCACTGCAGAAGGTTATGAGTATTGAAGGACAGATTACACATAGGCAATTAACACAGGAAGCACTTGAAAAATAATGTTAACACTATTATTAGCTAGTGAGGGGTCATGGAGGGGTTTTTAGCGAGGAAATGGCTAACTAAATGTACGTTAAAAAAATTTCCTGTCGCTAGAGGAGCCAAGAACTGGACCGTGGTGAGACTTGAGTCCTTGTCACCTGTTAGGAGGCAGCTGAAACAGTTCTAGCAAGAGACCAGGACCCTGCCCTAAGGCTAAGGCTCTGAGAAGAAAGAGGCAGTGGACTTGAGAGCTACCAAGAGGTAGAATCCAGGGAACGGGACCCATCCTAGAGAAATTTGAACTTTTCAGGAAGCTTTTTTTTTTTTCACTTAGCACCATGACTCTGAGCTTTTTCCATGTCAGTATTCCAAGGCAGTTAAGAATCATACCTTATTCTTTTAATAGGGAAGTCCCAGATGTCACTTGCCGGTTCCCTATTAGTGGATGTTTGGGCCTGGGAGGCTCTAAAAGCAGGTTAGGTTTCTCCTCTGAGGGCAGACATTTGAGAGCAGTTCTCAGGGTGGACACTTGAGGGTCTTTGACCAAGTGTATTGACCTTTCTGAGCCTCTGACCTGCCTGTGTCACAGGTGGCCATGGGGCCCCCGCTTGGTGGAACATGTTGCTGTGCTTATTTTGGAGGGGGTTATCATTGGGGGTGGTAATAAGTGGGTTCTAGTCTTGCTTTTTATGGGGCCCAGGGAGGAGTGTGGATGTCATACCCATTTTTGCCCCTGTCTCTGGTCCATGCAGGGACTCCGACCCCCTGAGCTGGGCAGGTAGGCGATAGGGGATTGTTGGCTCTCTTCTCATAGGTGCAGCCCATCCAGCCTACGCCAGCCGTGCCCCCGCCTACAGTGGTCATCGCCAGCCCAGGCCCAGCGGCCAAACCATCGGCCTCTGCTCCCATCCCAATTACCTGCTCAGAGACGCCCACTGTCAGCCAGTTGGTGTCCAGTAAGTGGCTCCTGAAGGAGGCTGAGAACGGGAGAGGCATTTATTTAGACCCCCTGACATCTTTGAATGCTGTTCTTTTTTTTAAATATATTTTTTATTGATTTCAGAGAGGAAGGGAGAAAGAGAGAGAGAGAAAAACATCGATGATGAGAGAGAATCATTGATTGGCTGCCTCCTGCACACCCCCTACTGGGGATTGAACCTACAACCCGGGCATGTGCCCTTGACTGGAATGGAACCCAGGACCCTTCAGTTTGCAGGCTGATGCTCTATCCCATGAGCCAAACCAGCTAGGGCTGAATGCTGCTCTTAATAAACTTCCTGGAGTCCAAAGGGGAAGGACAGGTGCTCCATGCCAGAGACTGGCTTTCTTATTCCTGTTAAGCTGGATTCTAGGCATGATGATAGTGGAGGCTGTTTCCCCACTGGCTGTCTCTCCAGTGGTTCTTTCCCAGTATTTGAGGAATGTGGATGGCCAACAGGAGTGCTTGGGGGCCAGGAGTAGGGGGAATGGGGAGGGTCGACAGTTAGAGCTGACAAACTTGAAACAAGACTCCGACCTCCAGACAGGTTGGTCCAGGGCCCTTTCCTCCATTACTTGTCTTGGGGACAAAGTAAATGAGGGTCTTAAGGGTATGTGGGCCTTTTGCCAAATGTCCTCATCCCTCTGCACCAGGCCAGGCAATGGGCTAGATCAGCAGTGATGATTATGTGTCCTCTGCACTCACCCCTGCTCTCTTCTCTGGCCTAGAGCCACATAACCCAAGTCTGGATGAGGATGGGATCAACTTAGAAGAGATCCGGGAGTTTGCCAAGAACTTTAAGATCCGGCGGCTGTCTCTGGGCCTCACACAGACCCAGGTGGGCCAGGCTCTGACTGCGACGGAAGGCCCGGCCTACAGCCAGTCTGCCATCTGCCGGTGAGTAAGGCTCCCTGGGCAAGGTCAGGGCCTGCTCAGGGGCCTGCTGCCGCCAGGTATTCACAGGACCTGGTGCCCCTTTATTCTCCCTTGCTCCTGCCTTCTTCCAAATAAGGAAGGCTGCTTTAAGGATAAGATATGAATGAATACCCGTAGTAGCCAAAGACTGACCAGGTCCTCTGATGTTTATCCTCCAATCCTGAGCTCATAGTCTTCAAATATATATATTTCAGAGAGGAAGGGAGAGGGAGGGAGAGAGAGACAGAAACATCAATGATGAGAGAGAATCATTGATCAGCTGCCTTCTGCACGCCCTCTACTTGGGATCGAGCCTGCTACCCAGGCACATGCCTTTGACTGGAATCAAACCTGGGACCCTTCAGTCTGCAGGCCAACGCTCTATCCATTGAGCCAAACCAATTAGGGCAAGCAGATAGTCTTTTTCTGGGAACCTAAGACCCTAATCCATTAGGAATCCTAGAGGGAAAGGAGTACAGCTTATGAAATTAGTCACAAAGGTGGGAACTTCAGTTCTGGCTTAGCTCTCAACTCTATCCCACCATCACCCTGTCATGCTCTCATCTCCCCGTTTCATAAGGCATGACCCTAAAGTGGTGTGGCTGGCTTCTGTGTGCAGCGTCTAAGCTGGCTCTGGTGCCAGTATCATAGGAGGGGTAGTAGAGGGTTTCCAACAAGAATGAGGCTCAGTATGGCCACAAGGTTCCATCTGCCTTCCAATTCCATATGCAGACTAGAGAGACTGTAGACTCACTGCTGTGTTGGGAAGTCTGCAGTCACATCGGGCTCTGACTTAGTGATGCTGCTAGGAGAGGGTAACTAGAGGAGGGCAGGGCTCATGACGTCCACTGCCCTGTCGGGAGACCTCTCAAGATAGCACCTCAAAGGACCTCACTTATCTGGTGGTGAAAGTTCTGGAGTGGTTGTCCAGGCAGCAGTCGCACTGTTATCACTGCACTACTGAACTGAGGCCATGGGATGGTCCCTCTGTTATGGCCTGGGATACAGGACAGTCTGAGAAGTCTGGGTTTCACCAAGCGTAGGGGTCTTGGTGGGGGTGTGAGGAGCAGAGTGCTCACACCCAGGTGTGGGGAGTAAGACACTCACTGTCCCCTCCTGGGCTTGGGTCACCTACAGGTTCGAGAAGCTGGACATCACCCCGAAGAGCGCCCAGAAGCTGAAGCCGGTGCTGGAGAAGTGGCTGAATGAAGCCGAACTCCGGAACCAGGAAGGCCAGCAGAACCTGATGGAGTTTGTGGGAGGGGAGCCCTCCAAGAAACGCAAACGCCGCACCTCCTTCACCCCCCAGGCCATCGTGGCTCTCAACGCCTACTTCGAGAAGAACCCACTGCCCACTGGCCAGGAGATCACCGAGATTGCCAAGGAGCTCAATTACGACCGGGAGGTCGTGCGGGTCTGGTTCTGCAATCGGCGCCAGACGCTCAAGAACACCAGCAAGCTGAACGTCTTTCAGATCCCTTAGGGCTCGGCCCCCGGCCCTGCGTTCCAGCACTTTGTACTTGTCCCTTGGCACCTGGCTGCAGCCACGGCTGTGACAGCACCGTCATTCTGGTACATGTGGCTGTGCTTGTCCTGGGTCTCGAGACTCCACCGTGTGCATGCCCGTCAGCTGCCTCCCTCCTGTCCCCCACATATTGCACATGGTGGGGAGGGCAGAGGGGCCCACTGAGAGCGCCAGGCCCCGGGCTGCTCATGCCGAGGGAGGGGATTTGTGGTGTCACTTAAAGAAGCACTTTGCTAACGTGGTTTTTGAAGGGTGAATTCTGGTTGGGAACCAGAAAATCCCCGTCGTTGGGGCAGGGCTGCAGCAGCCCCTAAAGACTGCCATTAGCTCTTGTTTTCGATGGCTCCTCTTTCCACCCTCTCTTCTTCGCTCCTCTGTGTAGTGTGGCAGGTATGGCAGCTCGTCCAGTAGAACCGCAGCCTCGCCCCTTGGCCTGCAGGCACACTATGCCCTGAAAGGACTCAAGAGACACAATTCTGAAAAGTGTGATGTGCTGCTCAGGTCAGACTCAGTGTCTGCCTTGACTTCAAAGTCAGGAGATCCCACAGCCCTGGGCCAGGATAGGTCACCTGCTCTCCCACCCTCCCACCCTCCCTGGTTCTCTGGGGGAAAATTGCACTAAAGCAGAACCTTTTCTTTTGTAATCCATGTTGGAAGGAAACATCAGTGAACTCTAGCTGTTGTGGAGTTGACCTAGGCCTGTGGCAGGTCGGGAACTTAGTAAATAAGGCCATTCTTCCAGATTGTAATCCAATCTCTGCCCAGGACCACCCCCCACCCCCCCGCCCCCGCAAAAAAAAAAAAAAAAAACAGTTCAGAGAACTTGCAGCCTGGAAAATCCCCTTCCCAAGTAAGCAGGCACTTTGGAGGAAAACGAGGAAAGAAATACTGACCCTCTTGTCCTCATATTCTTCCCCAACCCAAGACAGGTCTTCTCAGAAGGCAAACGAAACAATAAACCAGACTGCAAGGCCTGGGGGAGAGGCCAGCACCCAGCCCAGAGAAGTCTCTTGTGGAAGGTGACTTAACTCTAATTTTCTCTGTAGCTTTAAGCCTTGGGTACTGGATGAGAAACCTTATTTTGTCCCGAGTCTTAGACCCTGTGTTTGTGTAAGAAATCTCCCCAGTACTCCGCTGAACCAAGAATATCCCTGGGACAGGAGGGGTTTTGCCTCTAGAGAGGGTAACTATGGCACATTGGGGGTTGGCACCTCATCCGAGCTCCTGGGTTTCCCAGCCTCACTGTGGCTGGACAACCCCTGGAACTCAGCCTGTGACTCCAGGAAGTCAAGAGAGCACCAAGAGGTTGGCGTAGATGAGCCCAGCCTTGCTGTATAGAGCATCCCTAAAGGGCCACAAGCCACGGGGTCAGCCACCCCCTCTCTTCACTACTCTTGTCCTTACAAAGCCGGGTCTCTAGCAGCTGCCTTCCCCTGCGCCTCGCATGGTACCCCTGAGGAAGTGACTGCCGGCGAGAACACATCTCCAGCTCTGCTGGTCACTGGCAGCCACCTCCTAGCCTGGCCTTCACCCGCATGCTGTTTCCTTTCCTGCCTGCAGCTGGTCCCTCCCAGGCCCTGCAGTGCCAGCGGGGCCACCCTCTTGGTAGCCCTGCCAGGGGGAAGACAGTTGTGTGTCAAATTGCCACACGTACACACACACTCCCGCCCCGCTGCATTGGGACCAACAGGCCTGCCAGAGTGAGGAAGCTGGTGGGCATCCTGCCCGCCCCAGTTTCCCAAGAAAAAATGTCTCCAAGGGGAGGCTCCACACTCAAGGTCAAGGTTATCAACCTGTCTCGGTGAGAAGAAGGGAGGAGGATTGTAAACACGTTTTCAGTACTAGTTAAAGTACTGGAGTTTAAGGATTCAGCGATTTACACGTCAATAAATTAGAGCGGCAGTTTTCAACCCTTTTCATCTCATGGCACACATAAAGGGATCACTATAATTCTGCAGCACACCCAAAAATATATTTTTTGCCAATCTGACAAAAAAGTAGGTATACTTTTGATTCGGTCACACCGATGGCTATTGTTCTGTGTTGCCTGTTGACGTTTTTAAATTTGACAATCTAAGGGAAAGGAGGTCAGTGCCCCTGACCAAATAGTCAAGTAGTGCATGTTTAAAAAATGTCTGTGGCCCACCGGTTGAAACTCTCTGAATGAGAGAGAGACAGGTTTTCACCCTCAAACACTTGCGTTCAGATATGCTTCCTTCCAGGTGGGTCATGGTGGAAACCCTGGGAGTCGCATATAATCCAGGCTGTGCCCAGGGCAGTGGCTCTGCAGGACGCCATCTGTCTGGTGTGAGGGCAGGAAAAGGATCACGAACTGCTGCTGGTCTAAATTAGGCCGGGCCTTGCTTTCTCAGCTCCTCTCTCGTCTAAATCCGTCTTCCAGAGGCTGAGGTAGAGCTAAATCGTTTTCTCCTCTACAAGAAGAACGGGTAGGTCTTTCTGAAGAACAATACCAGGGTCGGAATATTTGCAAGCTGAATTCCCCAGGCAGGAGGGCGTGGGGTGTCCCTGAAATATGCCCAAAGCAGAGCTTACTGGCCTGCAATCTCTCTCCTGCTTCCCACTGTAGGCCGCCACCACCACCGCCGCCACCACCGCCACCCCCCACCCCCCACCCCCCACCTCCATCCCCCACCCTGGGAAGCAGCTGTGGCCCTGAGGTGGGTTTTCTGTTTTGTTTTTGGTAGCATCAGACTCTAAAGGAGTTGATATAAATTTGTCTTGAAAGCACCTTTCTGGACTTAAAGCCAGAGCTCAATGGCTCCTTTGCCATGGAAAGGCAGGAGAAAGGGCAGAACATGTTTTACTGTTTGCTTGTGGTTTCGTTTGTTTTTGTTTTGAATGAAAGAAAGACCAAAACTTTCTATGGCCTGGTGAACTAGCTGAGGCCTTTGACCCTGTGCTATGCATGGTATTTTATCCCGGCAGGGTCCAGGGAAAGAATTTGGCCAAATAGATGGAGGAACTCACTTGAATTTGGAATGGGAGTCCCTGATGTTTTTGTGTCCTTGGCAATCCAGTCATCTTCCTATGCCTGGATTCCCCTCCTGTCTCCTAGGCCAGGCTCTGACGCGGAGGTTCTGACTGTTCCCCCGACATGGGGCACCGCCTGCTGAGGGCTGGAGTGAGGGCTGGGGAGGGAGGAACACTTGCTGTAGTTGTGTGGAATAAACAGTATTTTTCTTTTGTACGGGTCTGCTTGTTTCTCCTTCACCTCTCCGGGTGGGGATATAAGGGCGCTCCTGTCAGAGGCCAGGGAAGTATCAGTGAGCTGCCCTGTGGTCAGAGCTTATGGCCTGGAAAATGCCATTGCAAGAGGGTGAAGGTCAGTGCTCTGGACTCCCACTTCAGAAGGCCCTGCCCCTGGCCCTCCAGCCACGACCCTGCCCATGGGGTGCAGGGTCAAGGGGATGTGCCCTTTGTCTTTCTAGACCATCCTCCTGGTCCCTAGGGCCCCAGAATACCTTGCCAAGCCCGCTTTCCAGCCCCTTTTCTCTGGGTTCTGACAACAGACCTGTTGGTGTGCATACTCCTAGACTCAAGAAGTGACCAAGGGACAGCTGCTTGTCAGAGATCTGGGTGGATGGAGCTTGAATATGTAGGCCAGAGTGTCTAAACGTATACGCAGTGTGAGATGGGGCTGCAAGGGGGAAGAGAAAGCAGGCCATAGGCTGGGGGCCAGGGCTGGAGAATATTCTAGCACAAAACTTCAAGGACTCTTTGAAGTTTAAATTCAAACCCAGTCTTTCGGGTCATTTTTTTTAAGTATTTTTTTTATTGATTTCAGAGATGAAGAGGGAGAGAGAGAGAGAGAGAGAGAGAGAGAGAGAGAGAGAGAGAAACATCAATGAAGAGAGAGAATTATTGATTGGCTGCCTTCTGCACACCCCACACTAGGGATCGAGCCCACAACTCGGGCATGTGCCCTGACCTGGAATCGAACCAGGAACTGGTTCATAGGTCAATGCTCAACCATTGAGCCATGCTGGCCAGACCTTTTAGGTCATTTTGAAGGTCTGGTTATCAATATGAGCTGCTAGATCATTCACAATTAGGTTGGTTTGCCCTTTATAAAATTTAGATATATGGTATGTGGACCTTTATTTGTGCTCTTCCTCAGGCCTGCAAATGTTAGGCTAGGCCTGATACTTGAGCTTAGAGCTGGAAGAGCACAGCTATAGTGAAGGTTTCGCTCTTGGCTTGTCTAACTCCTAGGAGTAGGGTTTATGCCATGCCCCCTGCAGCCTTCCCACTCCCCCCTCTACCCACCTGGTATTGATGAGGTCTGGGCTACATAATTTAAATTGGTGAAAGCAAGGCATCACCTTTGATTCTGACCCAACCAGAATTTTTGAGCCAGGCACTATGCTGGGTTCTAGATCATGCTCCATCACCCCACTTCTACCCAAGGGACAAGAAATGTCTAAGATTCTGATGTAAGGCTTAAGGATCAGCCCTAGCTGGCTTGGCTCAGTGAATAGAGTGTTGGCCTGTGGACTGAAAGGTCCCAGGTTCCATTCCGGACATGTACCTTGGTTGCGGACACATCCCCAGCAGGAGGTGTGCAGGAAGCAACTGATCAATGTTTCTCTCTATTCGATGTTGCTAATTCTCTATCCCTCTCTCTTCCTCTCTGTAAAAAAACAATAAAGTATTTTTAAAAAAAGACTTAAGGATCAGAGGAACTGTGAAATAATGGGGCAAAAAATTAAATAGAAGCCAGCACTTACCTCTGCACAGATCTCACAACCCTAATACTAGCTGTCCCTCCTGGTACATAGGACCCCAGGCTAGTCAGTGACTCCACACTAGTCTGTGGCTCCTCAGTGCCCAGGCCAGGGGCACACAGTAGGTGCTTGGCAAATTTCAGACAGATGACTGAATGTATCTCCTTTTCTCTCCTTCAAGGAAATGATAAGAGCGGAGACCCTGACTTCAGGCTCCTGGGAGGAAGCAGGGAGAAAGAATTCTGCTTAGCTATACAGGGTTCAGACTGTGATATGTGGGAGTGAATGGAATCTGAGTAGCAACGGACCCTGACTGGAGAGAGGCAGCTGCCATCGGAAGAGTCAGTGAAAGCTGATATCTCTGGCTCAGACCTGTCAAGTGTGGCTCCTGGCAGTCGGCCCCGGAAGTTTTAAAGCAGCGGGTTTGTGGAGAAGCTGTAGTTTCTATTCCCAGGTCTATCTAGGGTGTCCTTTGGGTTTCTGGACCCAGTTCCAAAGTGTGTGTGTGTGTGTGTGTGTGTGTGTGTGTGTGTGTGTAGCTTCCCACACCAACATGCAAGTCCCAAGAATTCAATTCAATTCTGACACTATCTACTGGGGAGATAGCATTAGATTTCACAAGATAAATGCTTCACAGATAAATGCCTCAGTTCCACAAGACCACCCTCCACTTCAGATTCCAGTCCCCTCCCCGACATCTGGGGGTGAAACTAAAAGTTTCAACCCTGTATTCACAGTTGGTTCTCCTTGCAACCAGTCCCCAGCCTTGGATTCTTTCCAAAAGTCACATCATTAACATAAGCCTACTTGTGGTAGTTGCGGTGGAAAGGGACTTGTTATGAAAGCAAGACCCATTTCACCATTATGGCTCCTAAGGTTTTCAAGAACTGAGGCCAAATGGTATAACAAAAGATGCTCCCAATGCTCGTAGGCTTAGAAATTCCGAGGACTTGTGGAACTGTGAACCAGGAACTGTGGACTAAGACAAAGCATAGATGAGACATGTATTTTGGTCATTCAATTGACCAAATATGTATGTTGGCAGCAGTAATGGCACGAGGTGTTAGACCAGTGGAGTCATACTGAACCTCCGTTCAGCAATCTCAGCACTTGAGTTCTGGTTAAGAAAGAATTCAGAGCCAAGACTCAAACTGAAAGAGCAAGTTTATGTCACAGAAGTAGAAGAAATCAGTTCAGGAAACAAGTTACAGAGGCAAAAAATAAAAAATTTAAAAAAAGATTGTGGGGGAGGTGGCCGGGGCTTGGAGCTTCAGAGACAAGGAAAATGTCCCCAAGGAAAGGGGGATGGAAAGGCAGGGGTATGCTCTACAGAGAGCTGCACTGGGTCCTCAGTCTTTTATTTTAATTTTATTTATTTTTTAGTATTTTTACACTTGGAGTGCGGGTGAATTTCCCGCCAAAATATAAGATGGCTCTGTCTTTTGGTTTTGTTCCATCCACCAAAAGGGTGGATTACAAACAAATATTTGGTAATACGCAGTTACAATCAGCCCGAGTTTACACGTTTCCCGCACTCCACCGCAAATCTATATGAACCGAGTTAAAGACGGCTCCCGCGGAGTACGCGCAATTCACACGAGCCGACTTAACTCGTTTCCCGCACTCCAAGTGTTTATTGATTTCTGAGAGAAAGGGAGAGGGAGAGAGAGATAGAGACATCAATGACCAGAGAGAATCATTGATAGGCTGCTTTCTGCAAGCCCCCTACTGGGGATCGAGCCTGCAACCAGGGTATGTGCCCTGACTGGGAATAGAGCCCTGACCTTCTGCTTCATTGGTCAATACTCAACCACTGAGCCACACTGGCCGGGCTGGGTCCTCAATCTTGAGGTTATTTAACTGGAGGTCTCAGGGAAGGATCCCAAGAGAATATTCATCAGCTTTCTAGGTGTGTCCTTTCAGGGTCATGGTCTCTACTGATTGGTCAGTGCCAGGGCAGGAAGTCATTAGTCAATGTAGCTGGTCCTAATGTCAGCCATGGTGTCACTTGTCTGTTTTTTCTGCTCTTTTTTCTGGGCCTGGAGCTGAAACACGACTGAGGCCTAGATGTATTTGATGTGGGTCAGTCAGAACCTCATTGTCTTGGAGGCTTAAGAGCTATTCTCTTCTAAGGGCTGGGGGTCTAACCCATATGACCAGCAACATGCCAGGCAGGAAAGGTCAGGGGGATACAAACTGCATGACCAGTGAGATGAAAGGTCAGCGGGTCTAAACTGCATGACCATCTATATGCTAGGGGAGAAAAGGTTACCCTGGGGGTGAGGTCCTTGTTTTCCCAGTTTTGCCCATTGCTAGACACCTGGAGCTTTCTGTTCTAGTGACCTTCTGTAACCTGGCCCATCATTCCTGCTCTGCTCATATCTGTCTAACTGCCTACCACATATGTTAAAAAAACAAAACTTCACCCTGGCTGGTGTGGCTCAATCATTAGAGTGTGGGCCCTCACAACAAAGGGTCTCGGATTTGATCCTTGATCAAGGGCACATACCTGGGTTGCAGGTTCCATTCCAGGCCCCAATCTCAATCTCAATCTCTCTCTCTCTGGCTCTCGCTCTCTTCTCCCCCTACTCACCCTCCCTTCCACTCTCTCTAAAAATCACTGGAAAAAATATTCTCAGGTGAGGATTAACAAAAACAAAACAAAACAAAATTTTCAACCAAGTAAATTTGAAGATTTAATTGGCTTTATTCAGTGATTCACAATTGAGCAACATCCCATCTAGCACCTAAAAGGGCGTTCCCAGGGGTTATACAAAATAGAGGGATTTTATAGAAGATGGATTTATTAGGGAAAGAAAAGATGATTATTTGGGGGCCAGAACATCTATATATATTTAATTGATTTCAGAGAGGA